TGAGGGAAGATCCCTCTGACATCTTTAAAATTTAAATAAAAGATACTTAAATAGAAAAGATATGAAATTAGCCTATGTGTCCATCAATGGATGAATGTATGATGACAATGTGGTATATATACATGGGCTGTCCAGAAAGTGTCCAGCCATGTAATATATTCTTTATATTAACAATGGCTGAATACTTTCTGGACAGTGCTCATACATAATGGGGTACTATTCATCTGTAAAAAAGAATGAAATACTGTCATTTACAGCAACATGGGTGAAACTGGAAGTCATGTTAAGTGAAATAAGCCAGGCATAGAAAGACAAACATTGTATGTTCTCACTCATAAGCGGGAGCTAAACAAGTTAATCTCATGGAGGTAGAGAGTAGAATGATGGATACCAGAGGCTGGGAACGGTTTGTGTATGTGTTGAGGGTGAGGGGAAGAGATGAAGAGAAGTTGATTAATGGGCACAAACATACAGTTAGGTAGAAGGAATAAGTTTTTATATTCGATAGCAGAGTAATGATAACTATAGTTAATAACATATTTCAAAACAGGTAAAAGAAGGACTTGAAATGTTCCCAGTACACAGAAATGATAAACACTTGAGGTGATGGATACCCTAAATACCTTGACTTGATCATTACACATTCTGTATATGTCACAAAATATTGCATGTACCCCATAATTATGTATAAATATGTTTCGATAAAGATACTTTTAACAGTTTAAAGAATGGTCACCTAATATTTTCAAGAAAAACACTAATTCTACTTAAAAATATTCTATGTAAAAGCCCTCTGGGTTTACCTTTAGAAATGAATAATTATTTGTTAGAGATGCCAGTTATTATTTTGAAAGGGATTCTTTTTAAAAAAAACTTAAATTACTTAATTGGATAATCACTTCCCTTGAATTTTATTTATATTAATTTCTTAGCATGTATAACAATGTATATTTCTATCTAGCCTCGTTACAATGAATTAACTTGAATGATTTGATGAAATCATATATTTTAGACATTTTACTCTAATGTAAGTTAAAATAGAATATTAGCATTTTATATTTTTCAACATTAGTGTTCCTGATGAGTGTTTACTGTGTCTGTATTTATAAAGGAAGATTCATTAGTCTTATTAAATATTTATGGTTTGAAGCAAACTGGAAATTAACACATTAATAAAAATAATTGCAACATTGTAATCATATGTTTTTGAGCTTCTTTACTGTTTTCTTTTTTCAAGAGAATTTTTAAGGAAATGATTTTCTAAATGTTGCCTTCTATATTTTGCAGGTACATTTTTTTGACGTTAAATTAGTACCTCTCGGTCAGAAAATGGAAAACCTAATGTCGATTAGGGGATTTGCGAAGGAAGTGAGAAAAAGAAATATTTTGTTATGTGGTCTTCTCATATGTTACCCACAGGTAGGTAAAATGTTGATATCTTCGGAATATATGATCAGTAGACTACAATTTTAATGTTGAAAACTTGATTTTGTTAAAAGCAGAGGAGTATTAATGAAAAGGAAAATTGTGGCTGGAAAATTACTCATCTGTGTGTGTGCTGTAATAGCAGAACCTCTTGACTCTAGGAGAAAAATAAAAATCAAAACAAGTGTTTTGATTAGGACAAGAAAGATATAAATTGAAAAGTGTCTCATACTAGGTATTTCACATAAGAGTGTCAGATTTGGTAAGTAAAAATACAGAATTTCCAGGTAAATTGAATTTCAGGTAAACAAAGATTTTTTTCTAAATATGTTCCGAATTTGAAATTTCAATTTCAAATTTAACTGAATTCTTTTATTTAACTGGCAACCCTATAAGGTTACAACTCTTGGCCTGTGATGTAATTGGAATTGCTTACTTTTGTATTTGTTAAAGATATTGGTAGTCAAGTGTTTTTCTCCCCTAACATGTTAATCACTTGAAAGCAATGCCTGGCATTTAGATTTTAAGAGAGCATGGTACTTAACTAGAGAGATGCATTTACTGTCACTGTCTTTAATAGCAGTAAGTTAGTTACACTGAAGGGAAAATGAGCTATTATTATAGATTCTTTGTGCCAAGAAATGCTATTTAAAACGAAGTATTTAGAGAATCTATTAGAGAAGATGAATTTACCCTTTGTGCATAGATTTCGTTCATCGGACTTAAATAGCACTTTATAGTTTTTTGGAGGTACCACACAGGAGCCTAACAAGTTAAACAGTCAACTGTTGTTTTTAGTGATCTTGAATAAAAGTGATTTGGTACTGACTGTCTAGAAAATGACAGGTATTTAAAGTTATATATGGATGATGAATAGCAGCTATTGTTTATGAAATTATTTTTAGCATTTTTAGCCTGTGGATAACATTTCTTTTGAAACAATGGATTTTAACTAAATATAAAGACCATCTTTTAGCTAGACTCTTGGGTTTTTTGTTTTTTTTTTAAACTTTGAGGCGGTGGTTTTCTCTGCTTCCAAAATATGTTAATATAACCTCAGTTTAGTCATCACAAACAAGGCAAATTTTCAGTTTCTTAGCATAATGGAATTGTAAAATATTAATGCTGTAGGGGCTACTGAAGTCAGGGCAACCAAGGTCCAAGGAGACGTGTATTTGCTAAGGATGGATAACTCGCAGAGTAACAATGAGAACTCAGGTCTGTATCCTCAGTCCAGGAATATTTTCTCCTTAATAAATTGTCTCTCTTGGTTGTACTCCAGATTATTATCATGGGAAGATAAATCAGTTCTTTTCCTTGTGTTGTACAAATGAGTCATGGACACACACTACTGATGCCGCTTTGTGAAAATAGAAAGTGGTTTGTTGAGGCAAATCTGAAAATCAGAGAAATGGGAGCATGTTATGCAATCCCTGGAACTCTCAATGTCCTGTGGCAATGGGTCTGCATGCACTGTAGTTGACTTTCCAGTACAGAGTAGTGTTGCCAGATAAAATATATGATGATCAGTTAAATTTTAATTTCAGTTAAACAATTTTTAGTGTAAGCATGTCCCAAATATTACATGGAACATACTTGCATTAAGAATTCTTTATTTATCTGAAATTCAGATTTAACTGGGCATCATGTGTTTTTATCTGCTAAATCAGGCAACCTTAATAGAAAGTATTCCCACATCTGGCATGCTCTGTGTATTTAGGGGGTGGGATACCTATCAATGTGGCTTTGTACCTGTGAAAGCTCCCTGACTGGAAAAGTGGACTTGTTGGAAAGAAGCCTTTGGAGCCCATTGCTTGGTATCAGACCCTTGTTATTTTGAGTTGAGGACCTGCTAAGCCAGCTCTCTACTAAGCTATCAAAAGCAGAGAAGGAGATAAGCCTATAAGGCTTCAAGATATCTCCCTCATCATTTTAGGGAGCAAAGATAGCTTATTTATGTATTGCTTGTCTCTTCTTAAAAATATTACACAATAGTGAAGATATTTCAAGTATGTGAGAATGTTTAAGATACAGGGCTTTCTTTTGTCCTTAAAGACACAGGTGTGAGTTGACTCAATAACCTAACACACTGTCCAGTGCATAATTCCATCCAAAAGAATATTTACCCAAGGACTCAGGGATGTCCACCAGATATGCTATTAAAAAAGGTACGGTTAAAAAGTTTAGGAAACGTCAAAAGAGTTAAACAGATTTCTTTAATGAAGAGCTTCTCACAAATCTTTAACATACTGATGAACATTTCACATCTCCAAACTGAAGAAAGCGGGCATGCCATTTTTCATTTGTTTGTGTAACCCTTTAACCACAGACAACTCATAAGATTAATGGTCCCTAGAGGCAACTTTTGGAAAAGACTACTCACAAGCATTGTTCCTATGTAAAGAAGCCACTACCTTCTGGACACAGTCTTATTTCTGTATGAATTTTTCCATGTAGTTAATTTAGATGTTCTGTCAGCACTAAGTTGGAACTTCTATTGGCTAAAAAGAACTACAAATGGAAAGGGTGTTGGTTTGTGCTTTTCATGGGGCTGTGAGATACAACTTTTTGTAGTGTTCGTACATTAGACTTTGCTCCCAAAATCTAATCCTTCCTTATAATTGCCATTAACATATTTTTCTAGATAGTTATTACGTATCCTTTTAAGTCTTTGATTAGAGAAGCCTTTTCTAGTTCACTATTTTTTGTAAGCATCCAGTGTTTCTTCTTTGGTTAAGTTTTCAGTTTAATAGCTACTCCTTAGAAGAGAGTATATTATTGAATTCAAAGTATGTGCCATATACATGTGTTTTTTTCCCCTCAAAGAAGACCTACGTTGTTCTGTATATGATATTTCTGATACTATACACAGCCTTTGATATTTTTTTTGGCTGTACCTTTACAATGTTAACATATATTATGTTTATAGTTAAATAGAATTATTTAAGCTTTTAAAAAATTTAACATATGATGATGCTAATCTCCATTTGTGTTTGTTTAGACATTTTTTTACACACACATAGGACTTTCTGTGTTTGGTGAATTTAAACTTAGTTTTATTCTACTGTTTCCACCTTTTGTTATTGTTTTTGATTCAGAACATAGCATGCAATGCATTAGTTATAATTTTCTATTTCATATAATTTGCAGGTTAGATGTCTATATTTTGTGTGCACCTTTAGAAAAAATATTGATTTGGAAAAGACTAAGGATTGATCCCTTCTGTAGTATCTATAATATAAATGTTCTACAATGTTGCGAGTGATTAATTACCAATCCTTCTTTGATAATCCAATGACAAATGCATCTAACTATAATCTTTCAGCAGTTTTTCCATATTTTAATACTATCATAGGAAATCCTAGGCCGGGCGCGGTGGCTCACGCCTGTAATCCTAGCTCTCTGGGAGGCCGAGGCGGGCGGATTGTTTGAGCTCAGGAGTTCGAGACCAGCCTGAGCAAGAGCGAGACCCCGCCTCTACTAAAAAATTAGAAAGAAATTAATCGACCAACTAAAAATATATGGAAAAAATTAGCCGGGCATGGTGGTGCATGCCTATAGTCCCAGCTCCTCGGGAGGCTGAGGCAGAAGGATCACTTGAGCCCAGGAGTTTGAGGTTGCTGTGAGCTAGGCTGACGCCATGGCACTCACTCTAGCCAGGGCAACAGAGTGAGACTCTGTCTCAAAAAAAAAAAAGAAATCCTGCCAAATACTTTGTTGAACTCCAGATATACTCCGAATGTACATAGTGTTTTCGGATCAAAGAGAGATTTACTAAATTATTGAATATCCCTGATTCCTTAGCTATGTCGATGTAAAGGATCAAATAAGTTTTTTTCAAAATCGATTTTAAAATAATCTTGCAACGTCAAAAAGGAAATTCATTGTTTAAAATAACCCCTTCATGGATAGATTAAACTTATGGATCATGTTACTGGCCTTGCCATTTATACGTAGTGTTAAGTTTTCTGACTTTATCATCCAATGCTCAGTTCCTTATGTTGTAAATCAATCTGGAAAGATTTGAAATATGTGCTCTAGATTAGAAGTGCACCATAAAATATACCTTCACAATTTGTTGAATAAATTTAAACCAGGCCCTATCCGTCTTTCTAAAATAACCATATAAATCCTCACATTGAGTGTTAGGAAAGAAAAAAAATAACCATATAAATGTAACTGTGGATAATTAAAATGAGGTTTCATAGTTTAATTCATATCAAAGATCTTAGTCCCTTTGTAAGTATTTAAATTATTCTGTTTATAAAGTATTATTCTTAATTTGTCATTGTTAATCTAACTTTGCCATGCGAGTCATGATTGAGGTCCATGATATAAAATTATTTTGGTAATGTGTTCTGATATTTCTAGCATGAATGGCTCAAGTCAGCAGCTTAGAGTTTTCTGTCTTAATTTTGTTAAAGTCTAAAATATTTGTGTGATGCCTTTTTATCCAAATATTTCAGATACACATTTTTAAATAAATTTTTGAATATGAACTTCTGTGGTAGTAAAAATTTTAAAGTCTATAAATTTATGAAGTCGAGTGTAGCAGTTTTATATTTAACCTGTGCCCTTTACATGCGCAGGGATTTAGAGACAGAAACACACAGGTTCAAGGTTTAAAATTTTCCCATAACTATTATAACGGATGTTTCTTCAAATATTTCAGATACACATTTTTAAATAAATTTTTGAATATGAACTTCTGTGGTAGTAAAAATTTTAAAATCTATAAATTTATGAAGTCGAGTGTAGCAGTTTTATATTTAACCTGTGCCTTTTACATGCGCAGGGATTTAGAGACAGAAACACACAGGTTCAAGGTTTAAAATTTTCCCATAACTATTATAACGGATGTTTCTTCCACTGAATTAGTGTCTATTCCCCTTCAAACTGAAAACTAACTATATGACCTTAGACAAGTAACATAAGTTTTCTAGGTCACAGATTCTCCCTTTATAAAATGCAGATGTCAGAACTTCCACATTAAA